AAGAATTATGGTCACTTTATTAAATGACTAGCTGTTCCCGTGCGACTTCATCCGCATAAAATTATTAACATTTTTTTTTATTGTTCACATTTGTCAAATTATCAATTGCAAATGTCAAAATGACATGACATGATGTCAAATCATGACAACCTTGCTTCCTTGATGTTGGCAACAACTTATGGTCTCTTTCCCACATTAGAGTTTTTATCCAAAATCTTTACCCCTAAGTTTAACGGCGTGAAAATATATAGCGTAAAGCGTGAGGTAAGTGTAGGGCTTTTTATTAAAAAGAGATTTTCGAAAATATGCTGTGATTGCTGACATCTTAGGCAACAAAGAAGTGTGTGTTTACGCTTTATTATAATAGTATACATGATAATGTTTTGTTTTTGCCAACACTTGAACCATTGGTGGGTCAAAGTTAATTCAAAAATGCAAATTGCAAATACGTAAAAATAAAAGTAACTAATTTGAATCATAGGCAATGTAAAATGTAGAAAAGATTGTGTATGAAACTATAACATTATATTGAATTGTGTTTATTACAAACAACTACAGGATATTGAATGGGCGTCTTTAAGCGATTGTTGGTATCGGGCTGACAGGGGAAGGAAGGGAGGGTTCTGTCAACATCTGCTTCCGCACATCCGACTATCTGACCGCTACATTCAGCGACTACTGCCGGACATTATTTTTACTTTATTGTAAAATCAATGCATTCAATTAACCTTGTTCTTACACTGTTTGTCTTAAAATGTTAATCTTAGATATTTCGTATTAGAAGAGAGTAGTACAAATAAGTGCTCGCATGAAATAACTTTTTCGTTACTTAAAGAAAAAAATTATATTTACATTTATCAAATAAATCATTGTATTTTTTTGTAGATTGCCCTAAAATAATATAGCACTTGCAAATAGATATAAAAAATAGTTATTATTTGGAAAATCCGTCCACTGAAAGATAATATGATACTTTATTTCTATTTTCCCTATTCACTCAGAGTTTATGTATCTCGAATAGTCACGTTCGGTCCCCGCGAAGGGTAAAGCATACAAATAAGTGAAAGTCCGAACCGCCCAAACACCCGCCGCCTTGTTCTTTATCTACGGATATCTTAAAAGAATTTGATCGTATATGGGAATATTACAAGTAACATCTGTGACAAGGGTCGAATAAACTTAGATGTCCATCTTCGTGGCTTGTGTTTTGATAAAATAAATCACTGGCGAGTGAAACTATTTTTTACCTGACACTAAATATTACGCGCTCGAAAATAAATGACGTATTAGTGATTACATCTGTCCCCAAATAATTTACTTTGAACAAATAAACACATCAATAACAATATTGAATCTTATCACACTAAAAACCTATTATTAAGTAGCTTAGAACAGAAGTATACTTCTGTAAACCTGCTTCGTTAGCGATTTACTAAAAACAAAATCAAATATTTTAATTTGACGGTTTCACTCGACACAATTATTTTGTGACATACTTAAATATCTTATTGTAATCTTAACAGATTAATTTGTAGTTGTAGTCAAGTGTAACACGTAGTTACATTTATTTTGTAAAAATATTGGTAGGTCTGCTAAAGTTATTACTGCAGTATTATTCGATTAAAACAATCCATACAAACATATAACTAAGTAATTATTTTAAGTGTTGGAATTCGCGTTACGAACTATAACACGTGAATAACTATCCGTTCGCAATTATTCTCGCGGCACGGTAATTAAGCAACGAACGTGTTCAGTTTTCATATGTTCAGCAATACACTCTCTTCCCTGTTCTCCGCACCAAAAAATTTATTGAATTTAATTATAAGGAATGTTTTAACAAAGTTTTATCGTAATTTTACTCAAATTTAATTCAAATTGTTATACTAAAATATAATTTATTTTAATGAAGATAGGCGAGGATCTCAATTTATCTGGGAATTAAATGCGTTCGTAAAAATATACTTTTTGTATTTGTTGCAATACTAGCAAATGAAAAATCTAATCCGGTAATTCGTTTGAATGTGTTGGTCCAATTAGATTCCGTGACATTATTCTACCTATCAGTGGAGTACGTGCAAAAATATCACTAGTAATAATAAAGTGTTATTCAGTGTCTGAAGAAGATTAGGTAAATCAACGTCCAATCGTGTTATTTTTATAGCGTCCATTACAAATTCTATTCGCTGCGTACAAGGAGTACTATTTATCACGGACATGTCATCGCAATGATAACGATGTGGAGTAGAGCCACAATCAATTTGGCGTCGCGTCGAGCGCGGCGGCTGTCAATTTGCGGCGGGTCGGATCGCGCCTGATGACTTCCGAGTGACCGGCTCCGATTTGCATAAGGGCCCGACTTGATTATCAGATTATATCCGAATTAAAGTCCCGCAGCGCGACCCAATTCCTTATTAGTTTTACAATATTGAGTCGACGCAATCTCTGGAATAATTATTTTGAATCATTATGGAAACATCCCATCCTGTTTTTAACTTTTAATTAATTGTTTTGGAATTAAATTGTATTCGAATACATACGTACATTACGTAGTATCGTACACAACTTTAATTAATCTATTGATCTCTGAATTTGAAACTGAAGAGTAAAGTTACACAAATACATATCTCTAACTTGGAATTCAATCTAGACTCCCCACTAGCCAAGGCCAATCATTAAGCCCAGTATCCGTGTTCGAGGTAGAGAACAATAAAAGCGGGCACACATCAGTAGGTGTGCGATGTGCTAGCCGGCATCTTGCCACCGGTGACAAGGGGATTAGAGCCGCCCCTGGCCCCTCGTCCCTCGCCCTCGCGCCGTCTGCGGTTTCTTAATTAACCCCTAAATACCCAGCAAGCGCCGCACGTTCCGCGCTTCCGTGCGGTGTGTAAGATTATTGCCAACGTTACTCCATTTAATTTTAATGTACGCTATTATTGAAACAAATAGAAGATCTCGTCTCGCCGAGCTCATTAGCTTTATTGCATATTTGCTCGTATGTACTCATCGCGTCACTTTCAGCCTTATTAAGTCTACGTTTCATATCTTCATTTAATTGGCGATAGACACAAACAAAGCGTTCCTCGCAGCTCGCGGCGCGCGACGACAGTAATGATGGATGCGGTCTACTTTGTTTACGTTAATTCTACTAAATGGTTTACGGTTTTTCCGCTACGCATCCAAGAGTGAAACTAGCTTTAATTAACATTTATTACGGAGTTCTACTTTGTTTACATTGATTGAGGAATCATTGTTAATTGCACATAGCTTTTTATGATGAATTTTTAGTTACAAGAGAAACAGTTTATTAAAACCAGAAAAGCTAAGGTATATTCAGCATATACTTAATTCAAAGAAGTTAAGGAAAGATTCCAGACGAGGAAACTATGCAACATCTATTGAATGGAACGATTTGAACATCCCGTTAGACAATGTCAATGACCTGGATCATGAACTGATCAATAGACACATTCGTCTGCTAAGAAAAGCACAGGGACTAAAAGGGTGCGTTATGTGTGGTAACGCGGGATTTACATCAGTTGAGTGTGGGGCAGCCGCGTAGAAAATGGAGCGCCGTGCTTAGAGCTAATGCGATCACGTGAGCAAACACGTAAACGCAGAGCTTTCATCTTCAGTCGTGTATGCGTTAGTGATGCGCCGCTTCACAAACACATACACGTACAGACGCGAGCGAACGTAAATAGATGATTACGCATTTCTAATCGCAGGTAACATCGATTTCTTGGACGCTCTCATCAAAGAATATAAATTTGTCGGTAATGGAAGAAATTAAAGCGATGCAGTGAGATCTTGCAATAATGTAACTAAACACATTGAAAACAATAAAATAAGTAAACCGTCAGACGATTTGCGAAGACTTTATTCACTTTATCATGTTAACTAATTATTAGGTTCTGGCAAATTAAACTAATATCTCTGTAAATGAATAATTCATAAGTTCCGGTATGGCTTTTTTTGCGCTTTCTATGAGTTTTAAACAAAATTTTAAACGAAAAAGTCTGCAATCGATTGAGCTTAAATTTTATAATGTGTTCAATTTAAACATGTAAAAACTTAAAAACTATCTGAATTTCCTTAACAATAAGATCTCAGAATAAAAGAAACACAGAAGTAGCAGTACAAACGGAACTGTGATACGTAAACAATTGAGGGCGGGAGAACTATGCGCTGAGCAAGTTTATTCTCCAAACACGCGGTCTGAACCCGCGCCCGCCTCGGCCACCATCGCGACCCGACACTCCCTGCCCTCCGCCCGAAGCCTTGCACCCGATCCGTTCCTTGAATGACTAATATTATTGTCTGTCTACTGTGTGGTCTTGTAATCACAGAAGGTCACTGACTCGGGTTCGAAATTCAAGTCCATGATGTTTTTTTTAAATTTCGAGCAACCAGGGGTCATATCGTTAATACATATTACAATGTGAAGTCTACTGCGTCTTAGCTTACTCGTCTTGATAATCATGTAGAATCCATCTTATGGTTAGTATATTAAAATTTATAATGCTACACAAAGTAACAAAAGCTACGCGGTGCCGTCAGCCCCTAATGCTTGAATTTGCCCGACGCACCTTTTATTGCTTACGCTGACACGTAAACGTGGGAACGCGAGTAGGAAACAAACACAGCCAATTTGGCAAGTCGAAGACAAACGTATTTAAAATGGGCAGAGTGGTACTGCGACCATCTATCTCGGAGCTTGATAAACGACGACATTATTTCTTATCGCCCACTCAATTTGTTTAAAAGCGTTCTGCTTTGATAATTTGAAAATTACAAATCGTATCTCTTGACACAAAAATGTCCTTATAACGTCGAAATCTCGCCAGCTAGATAAGTCGGAGGGGAGAAAAGATTGCCACGATTTATCTAAATTTAATATCTTTAACATTTTTCTTTGTCAAGGCCGTAAAATGTGTTTTATAATATGTGAGTTGTCGATCGTATCGGCGTCCCTCAAGGCGTTTTTCTTTTGCTTCCAGTATTGGAGGAACCGGAGTTCACTGACGTCATCCAGAACGTGACGGTTCCCGCCGGTCGCAGCGTACGTCTTGCGTGCTCCGTTAAAAATCTTGGATCCTATAAGGTACTATTAATAAGCATAATTTATTCATTTCAGTACTTATTAAAGCGAGAAATTACATGAATTTTATATATTTACTGAGCTGTTAACTTTGAAAATTTCTCTTTATGGAGATTTTAATGATTGATAAAACTACAGAACACGACAGATATAAATTTCCTGCATATTGCGCGAACTCAGTTTCAGTAAGATACCAAAGGTGCTCGCATATTCACAATCTTCCTGGAATTTCGTCAAAGGTTCGTAGGAAAGTAGTCATGGTAACGACATTGATGAAGGCTAACTTCTGCTTTACGCTCAATTCTCCGTTTTCATGTTTACTATTTTCGTAGGAGCACGTCTTTTATATTACTGCTGCGCTGGTATTTATAGGATTAATTTATTTCTTCGATGAAAATTTTTCCAATGGCAAAGTAACAAAACAAAAAGAATTAATTAGTTATTTTTGTATCTTAAATAAAATGTAATTATTTGTTTAACAGTTAATAACAAGCATCTGTAGATATACCGTTTTGTAAAAAGTTTAGAACATCGAAAGATAGCGTAAAATAAGGAATATTTTATAATTTGATTTAGAAGCTGGCGTCGTAATAAACTGTCCATGTAAATGGTAGGAGATATGATTTACAACTAGTACGCTGAGTTCGCACCTTGCTTTGTAATATGTGTTCTGTTTAAAACAGTAAAAAATTACACAGAGTTTTTTTTTATTATTCGACTGAAGCCTAGGCATAATTGTACAATATATTTTTTAAATCACTTTCAAAAATTGTAAGTCTTAATTATAAAAAACTCGGTTTCCGATGTACCTAAAATTTACGACCGAGTATTAAAAGTCAAACTGACTTTCCCCTTGCTTTAAAGGGCATTATTATATTTTACAATAAGTTTAAGGAATATTTTAAATTAAATAATTGATCAATGAACAAAAAAAAAACTTTCAAATGTTGATATAATTTTCATAGAAAATTTGAAATTTGAAATTGAAATTTATTGAAAAATATCAGATTAACAATTAACAATAAAAGATATAACCAATTAAAAGATAAATACAAATAGTGGATAAAATGTGATTGATCTAGTGATGCCCACACTAGGCAATGCCTGTATCGTGGGCATCGAAAACAGCAGGAAAAATATTTTTATACAGTAATAATTAAAAACCGACGCTTACGGCGTTTCGGTATTATTATGAATTAATTAATTATTAATACATTGTTTTGTCTTTCAAGCATTAAAACGTTACTTATGCCTGGACTCTACCACCCCAGATAATCGTATTAGAATATAAAAAAAAATACTTACACGACCCATTCAGATTACGAAGTCCATTATGTCCGGTTTCGATAATAACTTATTCACGGAAATATATGCTAGTAGTAGCTAGCCATTTATATCAATTGATTTTCTATAATTCCGAAAGATCAAATACCAATATGAACGTTGTAATGAAGTGGAGCGGTCAAGGAATTTGGACAAGTTGTAGTAGCGACGAGTAAGGACAGCCGGAGCAACCGGACGCCCGATAAGCCGCAAGGTGACGCCTGACCGACGCCGACATACACGTCGCTTCCACCTCACCCCCCGCATAGGGTTGCCACCACAAATAAAATGCTTTGCAAGTACAGTATAGGACACTTATTTCCTACCAGTGCAATGCTATATGTTCTAAAACAAATAATAGAAACATATTTACATACGAGTTAAATTATAGTTCATATGAGGACAGTTTGGTGTACAAATTTTATCCTAATTGGAAAGCCAATTTAATTCTACGACTGTCGAAACTGCTAAAAAAATATCATAATTATAAAATAGTTTATTACTGGATGTACTCAACTACAACTCATTGAAGAGTCGTTTTTTACTAGGTTCTATCCTTTTTATACTTGACATATATTTTATCTTTATTTGTTATTTCACTACGCTGTAATCGATATTTTTTTTATAAAAAATAAATATGTATGGCAACCCTATTTTTGTTAGGCTCGAGCCACCCCTGGCTCTCTGCCGTTTGGTTGCACCCGCAGCTCCGGAACATAGATTAGCTTCGACATTCGTATTAAACTTATTTACGTATACGTCAGACATCGGACCAAGAAATACAAACTTATGTTTCTATCTTACTACAGGAAAATATTGTTTACCTGTACTTGAATATCCTAAAAATCTCAAAAAAAATGCGTAAAATGTTTTCTCTATTTATTTTATTCCATAACCTTTATCTCGGCACCTATTTGTTACAGGGGCGCAATAAAAGCGAAGATAGTGTTTTTTTACTTGTGAAATAAAGGCTTAACTGAGGAAGCCATCACGGTTGCCCTGTATTGACAACAAGAAGCGGATTTTCCCGAAAGCCTCGCCTGCGCCATTAGTTTTCCGCCTCGGTTAAAAAGATTTGCCTCTTCGTCCGTCTTTTTAGAATTATTGAGTCACGTGAAATATTGCGATGAAATGACAAAACACGCTTTCCATTTCCATTACGAATTTACTATTATATTATATTATGTTAGTAATATATTACCGTCTCTTCCATTTACTACACGTATATAAATGTGTTACCTTACGTAAGAAATGTAAGAAACTGATTTACACATTTTTGGGAAAATAAGTTCATACTTTTTCATGAATTTAATTCATAATTCTCTCATGAACTAACTACTCTTTTAAATGTAAGTGAATGTAATATCAAATAGAGAGCTTTGCACTGTATAAGGATTGAATAAAAAAATTTTACGGCAATATTAATTACATTAGAACAATAAATTCCATTAGAAAAATCTTTGAATCGCGATACCATTTGCTCGCGCTGATTAATATAAACGAAATTAAATCGTGTATACAACAGCCTCAGCTTTATTAAATGTTCATTTGAATAACAACTATTTAGGTATGTTTTTAGCAATGATCGCAAAAATATGTTGACAGTGGGTTTATTGGCATGAAATGTCAAATAGTCGGGAGCGGCACGCACGGCGTATGCAGGCTCGTAATAACATGCCGCAACGACTCATAGCTATGTGGCCCATTCTCCCCGCTTACCCCGCGTAGCGCACAAGCGGCGAATGCTCACATTCTGGCATATTTACCCTGCTCTAATATCACCTGTCTTAAGTTTTATTGAGTTAGAAAAAATGTAATTTACTATTGTTATTTATGGCTTGTAAATGCCATTTCAATTGCATGGCAAAACGGACAAGACAAATTATCGCTGTAAAATACAGCGACAACGCCTGACAGTAACATACAGATAAATAAATTGTTGGTAATATGTACGAACCTTCTCATGTGCTTAATACATTGTAAGTTGACTACATTATAAAGTTACGCCCTAAGTATCTGAGTGAATATTTTGATAAAAGTTTAGTATAGCGAAATAAATCAATAAATCGGATACGATGTTCAAGAAAATAGAAAAATAACTTATTGGCGGAAGATTTGCGGAAAAGGTCCCCCGGCACAAATCCGCACCAAAGAGAGCTCTAAGTGGGCTTTTAGTGGAAATAAGCTAAGCCGTCCCGTGCAAGATGTTACTCATTTATGTCTGAGCCATTGCATTACTTACCGACTCGTCCACGTGCCACACTCTATTGCTGGACCTTTGTTATTGTTCAAGCACTCTCTACACAAAAAGTCTATTCAATTTTAAAGTTACAGTAAGATACTTTTCGATTTACTTCTAAGGATTTAAATTTGTATTGAATTTAGTTTGATTTCTCATTTAATTTTTAATTCTGAAATTTTACAAACACACTTTATAAAGCTGTGTATTATTCAATACGTTATTGAATTAGTGTTTATATTACAAACTCTGAAACGTCTAGATAGTTCTCTATATTATGATCGTAGACATATTGTGACAAAAATAAACTTAATTTAGCGAACACTCGAACAAATGGAAGTAAGTGGTTTGTGAGAATACTTTACGATGCTCCGCTCCACAGATGCTCCAAAGATACAGACTGAATGATATTACTGTCCAAAAATGTAATAAGCAACTTGTTTGTGAACATGTTTTTGCACTTCGAAGCATTCTATCGCTCCCTCCAAACTGTATACACAAGTATGATATTTTCTTTAACGTAAAAGTACCCATACTGAGTTGTACAAGTCATTAATTTACCTTTTATTTGGTGTTATATTAAACCATTCGTGTTTTTTAAACAACATTTAGAAGTATCGACTTTAAGTCACGGATCACACGCCTCACTTTTATAGTAGAAATGTTTTATAACATCAAGTAAACGAAGTAAAGATAACACAGTAAGTTGGTATACCTTAAACGTTCCATAATTAAATCTGTCGTAATATTATTAAACACGTCTAGGAATCATCTCCTGCGGCGATGGGGTCCGTCGTTAAGGAGGTTCGGTGCGGTTCGCGGCAGAATGGCTAAACTTTGCAACGAGTCCATTATAAATCAAACGACGCCTCGGAGGCATGTCCTGAGGGACGCGATCCCGACGCGCTCCCGACGCTCTGCGCCGTGCTTCAAACTTCAAATTCGCCTCCTTAATGCCCCAACAATTAAGATAAAAAGAAAGAAGGGCCTAAATTAAAGGTGGTTATAAGATAACGAGTTAAAAGGTCTTGTAACTTTAACTCTAAAACTTTAATACATAACCTCATGATTTCAAGTTAATTTTGTAGATTTTTTTTATTGAGAATCTAAAAAATCTTAAGAACAACTTTATTATGAATCTATAAAAAAAGTAATAATGTTTAAATAAAAAAATACGTAAATGAAGATGTTAAATGTTAAAAATGTACGTGAAATAGATCACAACAGGCGGCATCTAGCGGAGTGACTTGACGCTATGCATAACTCGCTTAGGTTCCGCAGACGAATGAAATTAGTTAGCTGCTGCCGCCATTTCAAATATCATATTTGCATCTGCCGGCTTCGTTATCGCTTCGGCCGCCTCACGGATTACTTTTTCTAGAAATGTATTCTCTAATTCAACCATGAATATTACGTTAGACCGGGAAAAGTTTTTTAAAATATAGTCGTGTCATGTTTTATGTTAAATTTAAAATTTCATCAGAGAAATCTTAAGTTGGAAAAAGTTTTTAACCTAAAAACGCGTACAGCATCGGGTAATGTAAATGTTTTTATTTCTATTATCAAATTTGGAGCAGAGAAACAATTATTTTTGGTGATAACTAAAACAAATGAAAGCTTAAAAAAACAATTTCATTAGTCCGTAAAGATTTAATTAAATGAAGACAATACAATACGCTTCCATTATAATTCGTTTGCATTCCACTCTTTAAGTTGTGCATTTTATTATCCGGACTCCATTGAAGTTGGGACGTTACAAAATATTTCAAGCCGGCGACCCTACGACCGCGACCTCACAAACTCACAAACTTCAACACTCAAAGCTTATCTTTTAAACAGTTATAATTTTGATTCCTTCTTAATTTTATCTTTATTGTTACAGCAATAAATGTGAACTTTATGGAATTCGAATATTGTTTTAATGGATCTCCAAGAACTTGATCGTTATAGAATCTTGGAAAGCAATAAATAATAATTTTTATATCCTTCGAACAGTTTTATCAAATAATCCTGTGTAAAAATAAAGTTATATTTCTATCAATGATCCACTGTCTAATCAACGACATAAAAAATTACATAAGCTTTACTTGCTTTGATTTTGATTTAAAAGACAATAAAAACCTTGTAAATCATTTATCTGTGGGCAGGTAGATACTAAATATTCAAACACTTAGAGACAAAGATGTTTTTACTTCAAAAGCAACATAAAAAAATATTAAACTAGCAATACGTACATGGCGATGCACGGCGCGAGTTTTGCAGCAGAGCTCGTAATTCAATGAGCGGCAGCAGACGGACACGCCGCCCTGATTACATTAGACGCCGGCCACAATTACGCAGATCAGATTTACATCTACCGCTAAATTTACGCGAACTGTATTCCAATAAAAAATATTAAATACCAAATTTAAAACTGCTCTGGATAATATTTACTGTATAAAAACAACTCTGATATCAAGTACCTTATCCTAAAGTCAATCTTTAGTTGTAAACTTTTCCTATTAACCCTATAAAAATCGAACGTACACGGTTGCTTAATATCGCAGGCCGAGGCAACGGCAACGAGTCAGGTCCTCGTCATTAGAGGGGTTACCGTCCCATTGCATAATAAAATGGGCAAAGTTTCCTCAAGTCCATTATAAATTAGACAGCGGCAGAGAACCGCATCACTTAAGATAGGTAAGATGTGACCCGGCACGAGTCCGCTAACAAACTTCCTTCTATATTGCCAACGCAATCTTGATAAAAAGAACTACCCGCGGCTCAAACTTATCGCCGGATTAAAACATGAAGAATATCTACAAACTTTTAAATTTTAAAAATTGCTCCACTTCACTTGCTTTATTTGCTCGATTTTACCGCAATAAACAGCGCGAGCGGCTCCTTTTGTAGTGTAACGACTAACATTTCATATTGCGCCACGGTTCATGTACTCGTAACATTTTTAAAGACAACTGTAGCGCAGTTACTTTTCTTTAGTAAGTTTTAAAGAACGATTGTATAAAATCGAATGTTTCCGACCGAGATTAAAAGTGGTGGGATTGTTTGAACTGTAACATCTGTAAAATGCATTTTAAGCGGTTAATGCCGTGGAAATTGGTGCAAAGCGGGGACACGACGGCAGCTACTAGCAATTACGCAGATGTCGCATCGGGCCCCGTACCACTGTCTAATGGCGACCCCTTAAACATTTCATTTCGCGAGGTATTTATGTAACTTTATCCATTTTGTACCGAGTCGCACTAACTCTTATACCACGTAAAATGGACAAAGTACTGACATAAAGTCAAACACACTTCATTAAAAGCGTATGTTTAGCATTTCTGTCGATTTTATATAACACAGTCCTATAATATAAGTTTTATAAAAATATCGACAGCTTCGGAAAGGGGAGTATTTTTTAATTTCCGTTATGTCAATCATCAACTTTCGGGAATTATTCATGAAACATATTTTGTAGGCAGTTCAAGACTTCTTAATCTTTTTATATTTCTATATTAATTATGACTTAATATTTTTAATTTCATAATGAATCCAATTTTTTATATTATTGGATGTTACTAATATTTTTTGCGTTATTTTTCAAACAATATGTAACAGAAAATTTATTCTCCACACAACAGGATTGATCAGTATATACATATGTAGTCATGTCTAAAAAAATAAATTAACCCCTCTCAAATCAGGTGGCATGGATGCACTTCGAGCAGTCAGCTATCCTGACGGTGCACAACCACGTGATAACGCGCAACCCGCGGGTTAGCGTGACGCACGACAAGCACCGCACCTGGTTCCTACACATCTCTGACGTACGCGAGGAGGACCGCGGCAGATACATGTGCCAGATCAACACTGTCACCGCTAAGACACAGTTCGGATATCTACATGTTGTAGGTAAGAGAAAAAGAAATTGAAACTATATACAAAGAAAGTGAAGCCTTCAAAATACATTTTCTGAACAGAGAAAATTGAAAAGATCGGCGATTTAAAAGCTTTTGCTGTAATACATTGATATACTTTAATTAAATGGATTTACTGTTACACAAAAAAGCTGTCGTAAGTTTAACAAAAAGTACATAACATTTTTATTAACTTCAATTAGGAAATAGATATGTAGAACCGTGTTATGAAATCGTTAGACGGTATATTCCGTTCCAAGCATAGTTGGTCGTTTACAGTGCCTCCTTCAATCGACGACTCGCTGAGCTCGAGCGACGTGATCGTCCGCGAGGGCGCCAATGTCACTCTGACGTGCCGCGCTAATGGCTCTCCTAAGCCCACCATCAAGTGGAAACGGGACGACAGCTCGAAAATCTCCATCAGCAAGGGACATTCTGGTACCTACTTTCAAACTACCAAATAATTAGTCATTAAAAATAAATCTACCTTTGCAAACTCCTTTGCAAAAAACCACAACACTTTATATAACTGAAATTAAAATGTGTGAAAGATTAAACACGTGGACTTTTAAAAGGTTATAAGTGAAACGAGATTTGTTATTACAGTTTCTGAATGGGAAGGCGAAGTGTTGGATATGGCGAGAATATCCCGTCTCGATATGGGTGCTTATCTTTGTATTGCCAGTAACGGTGTGCCGCCCACTGTTTCCAAAAGAGTCAAGGTCAGCGTCGATTGTAAGTACTTTAGGAATTCATATATTTTATTATCTTCACTCTCGCATTTACCTCGATCACCTTCGAGTCACCTTCAAGCAATTGGAAGAAAAATAGATAAATGTAATAATTTTATTAAATTTGTTGCTGGAAGTGCAAAATAAGTTCCATGTTATTTCAGAATTAGCAATTTGTGACTTCTACAATTACTATTTTTTGAATCTCAGTTTGCAGATTTTGCACTTTTTAAGTATAGAATGCTACGTTTATATTTGTCATCTTTCTTCTACTCAGTTCCGCCTATGCTATGGATTCCACACCAGCTCGTCGGTGCGCCGCTTTATTATAACGTGACCTTAGAATGTTTCACTGAAGCACATCCCACATCTTTAAATTACTGGACAAGAGACGACGGTCACATGATTCATGAAAGTCCAAAATACCACATGGAAAATGTAATCGGAACACCAGCTTACAAGACGCACATGAAATTGCTGATTAGACATATTGTGACTGAAGATTACGGCACATATAAATGCGTCGCTAAAAATCCTAGAGGAGAATCTGACGGAACTATTCGGTTATACAGTAAGTATCAATCTAGACTAGAGGATTTTATTGTCTTGATTCATCCTCTAATGGTGTTCAGCGGTCATTGAAGTAATTTAGACTTGTGACTCTGAAAGACAAGACACGCACTTATAGGTCTAGGACTTATAAGATGAGATGTGACAATTTGTATTTATTGTTTAAAAATTAACATATGTGTAATGAAATTCTTTCCTTTTAGCGTCGTCCCCACCGACTACAACGCCCGATCCTCGAGCGCTTACTGTACCACCGCCCTCTCGACCGCCGCGCCGGGATAACCCGATCACAGATAAAGGTATATCACTACTGTTGTCTATTAAACCATTATTTCCATGAATTTGTTATCTTGTCCAAATTATAACTCATCCTTATTACAAAACCCTAATGTGGAGTAAACAAAGGTTTGAAGAATATGCTTCTTATATTTTTATTCAATAAAAAAATCACCAACAACCAAATAGTTGCCTCATACAGACACAAAAAACATATACAAGCTTGCGCGTAGGTTATTTGTAATTGCCAATTTTCTCTCTGTTCATGCCTTGGAAATTTTTGGCAATACGTGTAATTTTGTCCGGGCGTTTGACTACATTGTACCGGCGCGTTCGACAATAACAGTTCGTAAATATTTGTCCTAGCAGAGAACAATGAATCTTACGGTTAAATAAGTCCGTTAATTTCCGATGTGACTGCCGATAAAATGCATCGAAAACCGACTTTTATGTCAGTGATTTCGTTTATTAAGAGATAATATTACCTTTACGAGTCGTGTCCCTCGAGATCGTTCAGTTTATTTTCATTGTTTGTTGCTGTTTCAGTTATTATTAGTGGTCGTTACATTTGTTTATAGATCGTAAACTATTACGGCTGCCTGCTTGTCGCCGGTAGGTTGTTAACTGGCTACGAATGTTATGCTCATCGTAAAATGCAAACAAATCGCTTATAAACGAAACTTTACGAAGTGGTTTGAGCTGTTCGCTTATTATACACAAACATTATTTTATATTAACATATTTATTATATCTTTAAAAGCAATTTATCGTTAATAGTTTGAAAACACTTTTATAATTTGTTTACGTAATGTAGAGAGGATCTAAAGTAAGGCTCTGCGGTTTGAGCAGAAGACATGTCAGATCAGCACAGAAAGTTCTTTCTGGCCACTATCCAACAGCAAGTTTTGGATATCTAATAAAAAAAATCCTGTCCTCTAATTGCGAGATATGCAGAAGGCCAGAATATCTCCAACCAAGCTCAACCCGGCTGATGTTCGCATTATTATATCAATACTGGTTGAACCTACTACCGATACGGCTGTACAATTATGCCATCTCGTTTCTTAATCACAAAAAGTTGCATTATCGGCTGGCATATATTTTTGAATATAACAGCTCCTCCTAATAAAGATTTTAAAAAAAGTAAGGCCCTATTCGTAAAGTCTGGTGTTATGTGTACATTCAAATCGAATTTACCTAAAACTAAATGGTGAGCAAAACTTTAATCATTTAATGTAAATAAAAAAATAACAAACAATTTAAAGTCTAAGGGAGAACGTATTAATATAAAACCGCATAAGTTGCTTGTTGCGCGTCATTAGGGCGGGCTGTTGTGGAGTTGTCGGCAGACACGTGCCGGACAGCGACATCTTGCGACACGCTATTACAACACCGCACTAACTTCCGCTCTCCCGGCGCGACGTCCAACTTGTCCGATTTTCTTTACAACTTTCTATTGTTCTGCTTGAAATCCCTATAAAGTTTGCTAGCTTACTGTTTGAAGACTAATTAATAAATTATATTTAACTTCACCATTTATGTAAACAAAATAAACCTAACGGTAATGGTTACGTGAACTCGAACTCGCGGCTATAGTGCCTCAGATGATAAAAGGTTACATGATAAGATGGTTAAGAAAATCTCACTACCTTGTACTTTCAGTTTTATTAATTATACAGCGTATAGTTGGTACGTCGTCGCTGTTCTATTAAAACTTGAGACTTTTTTCAATTCAGTAAAATTCCATGTGTTAAAATTATTGGATTATTTTTCAATGTTTTCCTCTTTTGGCATGCTCAAAATTAGGTACAGGTTTAGAAGTACCAGAGTTGCATAAGTGCACAAGTGCAGTTGTCTCAGTCGTTATAAAGGCGAATGTCGTTGGAAATTCTAAAAATAGAGTGTACGATAACGAGCGGGCACCTAAGTTTCGCGGCAGTTTTTGCGCAGCGCGGCGAAAGCCCGCCGAGGACATCGACCGTCCCCGCTGTTTTACTTTTTGCGTCCATTACGAATTTACGGGCAGCCAGCAGGCAGGCCACTCGACAATATTGCACGACTTTTCAATAACTGCCGCCGCCCGGCCCGTCCCTTGCCATATTGAATCTTTTACCTAATGAGTTGGCCCATTTTTGCCCGAAGGATATCCGAAATGCTTTTCATTATCTTTTTGCGGTACAATGTATACAGAAATTAAGATAAACGCAACATACATTGTTTTTGTTTACCTATTTAAATTTATATCTAGGATAATTTTATGTGATCTACTATTACATAATATACTTCCAGATTCTTTTGGTTCCTCGAGTAGTTTAAAAAAACCTTTCTAAGATAAAAATTAAAAAGATTTATGTAATGCTAAAAAAGTTTTGGTACTAAGTGCTATTGTAAAGTTTTGGTGCTTAAGTACTTTTTAACCGTATTTTATGTAGCATGTTTTACAAAGCGACAAAATTTAACGTTATAACATTTTGCAGGAAATAAATATCAATCAAACATGAATGAGATTGATAGGCGAGAGTCGGGCAAGCAGAAGACGGACGAGGGCGGCGGAAAGTCTCATCTCAACTGGGTGGGCGGCGCCTCTCAAGTCACAGGTATCATTACAAGATTAAAAGACTAGGTGTTCCACGCGAATTCGCCCATGTGAAATTAATAAATAATAAAAATTATATCCCATGTTACCGACAAACAAATAACCATTCTAACGATGAAAGTATTTTTAAAATTGGTCCAGTAGTTTTTAAGTTATTTCAATTCATACAAAAATACGAATCTTTCCTCTTAAAACTATAAGTATACATTAATATAGACTGGTACAGATTTAAAAAAGTCGATAATAGTCAGTTCAGTGCATTGGCTTTTTTACTGTAGTATGTTTTTATCTTTTATGTCTGATGTAACAATGTTAAAGTTTTTGTGAAATATTACGTATTAGGAGTGAAACTTAGAGATATATGAAGTATGTTTTTGTTGCAGGCGACGCTGACTGGAGAAGAAGCCAGCCATGGATTTTCTTTGCCTTATATTTAATTTGTTGTTTTTAAAAAAATGTAACTGTTTTATAAGCTATTACATTTTTTTAAAATGCCATAAATAGAGTTAAAACACCTTTGTAGTAGCACAACGACATATTTATTTTATCTTTATAATGCAGTACTTTTTTAAAATTAGATGTTAAATGTGCAATTTTAGCTTTTCATGTTGAAATAGATATTGAATTGCAAGAGTAATAAGTGTGTTTCAGTTTTCCAAGTTTTCCGTTATTTTTCAGTAAATGTATTTAAAACAGGTATTTAGATTATATTTAGTAAATAAATGTAGCATTAAGCATACAAAAATATATAAATCTAAATGTTTGTTGATGATTAAACCTTTTTAGTTCACACCTAAATAGCTTATAAATTTTATAAATATGTATAAATATTGTTATTAATTATATTTATATTAATATATAATGGTTCCTTAAAAATTGTATCGCCATGGTACAGCTGATTTTGAGATGTACTATGTTATCAATATAATATTATTTTGCGCCTTTCTTGTATTCACATCAATCTACTGTACCATGGTTTTTTAAACGGAAATCACTGCACATGTACGGTTATATAAAAGTGCACATAAATGGTAATTATTAGATAAACAAATAGTGTAAGACTGAAAAAGAAATATATAACTCCTTAACTCTGTTTTCGAGCTTCTAAGGATCGTGTTCGCTGTGATATGATTTGAGCTAGTTAGCAACACTTTAAAACCCCTGTGTTTTCTTGTACCAATTTTGATGCTTTGTACGTAATTAAAAAATGTTGAAAAACGATTCTGACATCGATATGGCAATTTAATCGATTGTAACAAAGCTGACTTAGAGTAATTACAAAATCAATTCGTAATGCTTCTAAAGTACCTAAACAATCAATCTCACTTTTTATATGTGTAATTAAGGTTCAATAATTTTAAAGTGTTGTTAAAACTACACAATAATTTGCTATATTAAATTTTCGTTTTATTAGATGAGCACGTAAATGTATTTTTTAAAATATGATTATACATATTTGAAAATATTTCTTTATCTTTTTTCAGCAGATTTTCTTAGTTCTTTGGCACATACTATGCAAAATCTTTCTGTCAATTAATTACCTATTAAATTGATAATGTACGTAAAATAAACAACAAGGTTGCCAAATTGCTAAATTTAAGAAGAACGCTGCATAGTGAAATTCGATGTAAATATATCATTTAAGCCAAAGTAATGGAGTGTGTTTTAAAAAACAGAATGTATTGACTGTTTGTAAAGTGCATTGTACGAGATATTAATATTTGTAAGCCTTCTTACGTAACTATACGTAATGGTATTGTGAATTAATAGGTTATGAACAGAATAAAGCTTGTTTTAAATTGATCTTTTAATCAAAATACCCTAAAACTACACCCAAGGGATTCGCCAACCGATATAGGCTAGATTGTAGAAGGTTATTCGACGTTGTTGTTATTTCTATATATGGCCATAACTACTTGTGAAATAAGCATTGTATTACAAAAGTTGTACTGGGTAAATCTTCAAGTGGACTACAATAGTAGATTCTCTACCAAGTTCACCTATTACGGCAACGACATTTACAGCTCCTAATTTTATTTCATTGCAATAGATGAAACCATTATAGCTAGTAATATTTTCCGTATTAAAATTCTAAGAATGGTGTTAGGATTAAAATCTTAAATTTACTTATACCACAAACATAATTTATGCGGGAAAAGTTTTCATCCATCATATTTTGATGGACCCAAACAGTTGCAAACAATATGCGGTGGATCTTTGAAGATTAGGGCTGGCTTTCGGGCGCCAAACAGGCTCCAACTATGTATGGCCGCTCGCCAACTCCCGTAAGCCAATCTAACTTCTTTTAAATGTGTTTTTGATGTAAAGAACACATTACGGTACGCATCGCCCGCCGCAAATCTCCAACCAAATTAGCTTTTGATTTATTGGGCCTTAAGTTTATAACTGCCCGATGCCGAAGACTTCAGAAATTATGATCCCACACTTCATAGACATAAATACGTTTTGCAGAAACTTATTAAAACTTTACAAAATTTCCAAACCGTTTTACTGAGACATAAATAAACGCGATCAAAACTCCAAAGACGTTAACATGAAAGCATAAACAAGTTTGTGACTTATCGTTAATGAATTGGATGTAACAAATTAAGCTTATCGAATGTTAGCCACTAACTACTCAGTAAACATTTACACAATAACTTGTTATTGATAAAACAATGTACACCTTAACGCTAACGCATAAAGTTTATAATCCTCCAAACGTAGTAGTGTATCTTGTAACTTTTCATCATTGTTGTGACGTTTGTAACAGCGGGCTCATTACTTAGCTGCGACACGGTAGGCGTGGAGTTGCTTCCGTCGCAACCGGACACCGCCGCGGAGAGACCAAATAAAATTAACGTTTATTACTTTCCGCTGAAATCACCTTTAAATTACTAGGTCGTCTCTTAACAAATGTTAGTTTGAATTTTTACTTTTTAATATAGTAACATTTACGTCACAGATTTTTTAAATTGAATTGATTGGGATTGTTAGTTAAGTTGAGATTTTCGTAACGTAATAGGTTTGCGGTGAGGCCGAGCACTTAGGTCCCTCAGCCAGAATCTCTGGACAATCGCCGGTTGCCTATTCGAATAGTTTCCACGTAATCGAATTCTTTGATTTCTTCTAATTATTTTATGACTTTAAAATAATTTTTACTTTTCTTATAAAACTATACTAGTGGTTACCACACTATGTAAAAAAGTACTTAACACGATAGTATGTTGATTACAAAGTTCAGTCGGTTTCTTTCCAAGAAGTGGCATTTTTTTATCCAAGACTTGTCGGTCTCGTAGATAAACTGTAAACACAATTAAAAGTCGATCGATCCTTTTATGGACATAGAAAGCTTTTGTAGTTTTATTACACACAAGATCGGTTATTCTAATACACAATTATAAAAAGATATATGCAGTATTTAACTTTTTTAAATGTCGTTTAACTACCTATGTATTTTGATATATTTTACTCAAAGCCCTGTACGATATAGATAAGCCATCTTTATGTATCGGACTAAGATAAATGGAGTGTGCAAGTGCCGGTGAAAACAAAGCAATATTATCCGGACTAGTGAATGCGCTCGTCCGGTTACGGTCCGTACGGGCCCGCCATAATTTCCAGGAGGCAAATTAATCCGGGCACGGGCAGGCCGATCGGCGCCGGTCAACGCGTCCCCGCATACTAATGCTATTGTTTATCGAAGGGGCTAATCTGTGCGTACCAGCCGTTACTGTCCACTCTAGAAATTATAACGGATCACTTTCGGCCCCGTCTAATCCGCCACGCCACGAGTCAAACGTGCCGCGCCTCTCCTCTCCTGATTCATTATTCAAATGTGATGCCATCGATCCCCTTCCTTATAAATTGATGACTTTACAATTAAAACATATGCAATATTAACTAGTGACCGAACGAAAATTATCTATCACTTTATGCTACGTTAACACACTTTGAGTGTTCCAAATAATAGAAACATAACATGCAAAAGCTCAATGTTAAAATATACACTAAATCAAAGGGGAAAATCCAAAAGTCCCGTTTCAAATCCAACAAATTGTAGAAGCACGTGTAAAGCTGTAAAAGCGGCGTTCTTCACTGAGTGATAATAAAGGTAACCCTCTGCCTCTCGTCGGCGGCTGCGGCGCCTTTATTGTTATCGAATAAAAATAATCCCGGGATTTTTCGGGATGATCGTAAATTACGTCGGAAGAGGGCGCAGGGGTACGGGGACGCGAGCGGCGAATATAGCAATGCTTAACGGTCTTACTAACTCTTACATGTTCTCATAAAATTAAGCGTCAACCAGATTTATTGTGGAAACTTACATTACCATATTTAAAAAGTTGTCCAACATTATTCGCCAGTAACCAACGTTTCCAAGTAGATTTCATACGATTATAAGGATCATGTATTACTAATTTTACCTTCTAGATTTTATTTGGGCTATGGTTTTGTATCGTGTTTCCTAATTTATTAAAGTTACAAATGAAAATAAAAATAAACGTTCAAAAACGACATTAAGAATAATGACGGCATTGTTGAGAAGATGGTTGCAAAGTTACGTAAATCGTTCATAAAAATGAACAAATAGCCGTCTAAATGCCTTACTTAACAAGACAATGGAGAATAAAAGTAGAAAAGCTTTCAAATTAACGAGAGTGCGGTTCGAAAATAACGGGCCGCGGTACGCACATTTTTGACGGTGTGAACCGCTGAAAAGCCGCAGATACTAACAAAAGTGGCAACCGAAACTTATGAATTATTCATAGAGGCGGTGCGGTGCATGTTCTATCACTGTTTTATCTATTGCGGGCCGCCGCGGCCGCGACCCCCGCCCGCCGCGCACCGCCCCGCAAGGGTTAACTACCTTCTAACCAACAGTTTTAGTGTCGTTTGAGAAGACTAGATAAGCTTCGCGCAAATAAACATTACCTTAATGCGATCGCTAACACAATTACCGCTTAAAGGACGTTCATTTATTCATTTTAGATTGTTTCGACAACGCCCCTGCACCAGCTCGCTAATTATGTTTACTTTTAATAAGGCCCCTGTATCTTAAAGGTACTTCCAAGCTATTTGTATTATGCAAAGTGTACAATGAAAAGGTACTTAGTACTTTAAAATCTTACTACACTGAAGATTCTTGTAAATAGGGAGATCAGTTTTTCAATTTAGTTTTCTTTGAAAAAAAAAACTTGATGAAAATTAATAGTGGTAGAGAACGCTTTGATATCGTCGCACAAATGAACTGTCCTATGCACAGCCACGACCACTCAAAAGACAGGCGTCAAGTGAAAACAATTCTGCGTTTCGTCTGATGAATCTGCGTACCGGAGGCCTAATCCTTCTTTGCTTTTCTAACCATTTCGTGCAAGGAAAGGATATGAAAGAGAAATGTATATGGCGAGGGATAAGACGCATGGTAGAGAAAATTACGTCTTCCTGTTCGTCCCCACTTGTGTTGGTTAAAGGTAGACGCATCTACAAATACTGATGTCCTTGGGCAGAGGTCACTTTGTTTTTTGGCGAATGCTATTGGCCGCTTGCTCATTTGTCACTTTACAGCAAAAATTT